GGTGGGGATGGTCTCTTCTGCCATGCCAGCAGCAAGGGGACTAGAGGGAATCATAAGCTGAGATAGGGGAGATTCAGATTAGATGTTAGAAATTTTTTTTCCTGTTAGTGGAATAGGTTTGCCCACGGAGGTGGTGGAGTCACCATCCCTGGAAGTGTTTAAGAGGCATCTGGATCTGACACGAGGATATGGTTTAGGGTTTAGGGTTAAAGCAGAGTGGCAGATTAGTGGTTGGACTCAATGATCTTAGAGGTCTCCTTCTATGAAAATACCTAGCCCAATTGCAACTCCTGTATGAGGCATAGGGTCATTAAAAAGAACATAGATTTTAAACTATTTCAGAAGCCAGCTCATGCTAGTTTTTTAATTAGCTCCTTATGCACTCCAGGTTTGAGAACTGGGATGGCCAGTAGCAGGAAGGGGACCGATACAGCTAAAGAAAGCGCATGAGCCACTTCAGAAGATATGTTCCAAGTTCCTCCCCAGGTCTTTTGCCTTTTATTCTCCAATTCAGGTATTACATTTCCTCTGGTTTCCACCAGGATTGTGCATGCACCTTGACATGTTCACAGAAGTTCCACGATACAGAGTTTCACAACTGGGACAGGTCCCTACAATTGGGACACCAGAGTGACAAACAGATTCTGGAGAATTTCCCACTGAATAGGATGGAGAGAACATAATTACCACATCGTAGCACTACAATGCCTCATAAACATAGAATAGACTAGATCCATTTACCACAAAAATCACAGAAAGTAACTTATCAAAGAATAGATATTTTATGTAAAATATACATTTGTAGGATATAATTTTAATACATCTTATCGATGTTGGGTTTGCAACACTTTGAATTTTTAAAAAAACAGAATAGTCTTGCTGCCAGAATTTTATTTCTGATAATACTTATAATTTGAGGTAACAATGAAAGAAGACTGTGTGCTGTGAACAAAGTCAGTGATGTTTGTCTGCAGTCACATTTCTGTTATCAAAGTGAACAGTAAACTTAAGACTTGCATGTACACTAGAATTCATACAAATATAGGTCATGGCAAACTGAGAAAGCAAGGACTTGTGCAAACCTACTCTGTTCATTTTTGTGACCTTTGTAAAATATGCCATTAGTATGACAGAAGTCAAGACAGATGTAGTTTACATCACTATCATTATTGTGTGTCTTTGTATGATCCACAACACAACTTACTGCAGGAACCAGGAAGAATAAACACAGGGGTGTGGGTCTTTGCATGGAGCCTTAGCAATGATGACATGAATTCAGCTTTCCTTGATATAGATAAAAACTGATATTCCATGCACACGTTTTATTTACAGCCAACTCATCAACAGTGACTAGTCACCCCTTCCTCTGGCAGCAGTAATTATGAGCAGTCTTTAATCTTCTTTAAAAAGCTCTACTTCACACATAAAGTCTCAATGACCTCCTCAAGGTGAGTCGTTTATCAGGGCCCATTCAGCAGCAGCAGTCTCTTTCCAGTACAGTCCTTGGTATGGCTAAATTCCATTGTCCCTTTTTCAGCAGTCAAAAATCCATGATAAATTCTGTACAACACTGTAGTTAATATAACAGCAGCACCAGATACTATATTAATTACTTTGCTAAAAGCTGTTTGCAATTTTCTCTCTATTGACAATATTTTACCAAAACTAAATCAATGTACATCTCTAAATATCAGAAATGTATACTTTGAAAAATACATTATTGTACAAGAATTCTGACATGCAGGTCATGCTTTTGGGCTAGGCTATATACAGAAGAATGGGTTACATGGTCAATAATAAGCTATATTTCTTTTCCTAACAAAAAATAAAATACTACAATCAGGTATTATTAAATTATCTCAAGGATCTCTTAAGATTTCAGTCATTTTGGTCTTCCCCATGTAGTTCTAAAACTCTACAGTTTAGGGCAATGTTTCCTCACCAGCCCAGAACCTCAAGTTTGCCATTGCATTTGTCCTGTTGCATAAACAGAGGTTAATATTGAATGAAAAAGCCACTAGAGGAGACACAGTTTCGAAATTGTAATGAATGCTGGTTGCTAGAAGGAAGATTGATGCGATAGGCAACCGGTCAGTGCTGTAAAGCTGCTACTAAATCCCACTCAAAAAACCTTCAGAGTGCATACATGAGTTAGTCTAGACAATACTAACTTGCACTTGAAAAATATATATATTTGTATCTATACACATATGTATAGTCCATATGAAAAAAAAAGAGAAAAGGAGAAAAAAAAATGTTCTTAGTTAAACTTAAAAGAGGGAGCCATTTTAACGGTATCTCTGTGCTTTATGGAGACAGATGGAGAATACAGGAGACAGGTTGCAAAACAGACAGACAAACAACATATAGGACAAAGCACCTCAAAAAACATTGACTGAAGAAATTTTTGAAGCCCATGAGCCAGAGGTATAAGGCTGGTCAAAAACCCGACTGGAGAACTACTACCCTCTTACAGTGGTACAAAAAAAAGCCCCCAATAATCATTTTGATTTTACTTGGTACTCAGCCTCTGAACATGTCAAAGAACCCTGGAGTAGAGAAATGACTACAGTACCAAGCAGCACTTGCTAGCTTAAAATTGCAAGTCTGGATGGCGTTTACCTTTCTTGCATGTTTTGTGCCTTCCCCAAGCCATTAAGAAAGAGATCTGGCTTCTGCTTGCGTGTAACCAGTAATGACAACCTCTTTGCAGTTATCTGTGTGCAAACAACCGGAGACATTCAGAACTCTGATACAGCAATCCAGTACCAAAATAAGTTAATCACAAAATAAAGCCACTTATAAACAAATAGATAGTTAAGAATAAAGGAAAAGGTTAAACAAAGAAAAACAAGCCCACATGCATCAGTGCTTTCATTTCAGGAGGATGGTAACAATGTGAGAACACACATCCATAGCCCTCTGTGGTCTCTGCCACTGGCAACACTGCTTGTCAGGTGATGGAGACAGGATGGTCCATGCAAATGAGCAGACCCTTCAGAGCAGACATCTTCAGAATGGATTAGAGTCACAAGAAATGGAGGTTCAGTGGAGTGACTGATCATTAGTTGGAAGCACATTATTTTAAGCAAATCTCCCTGAAAATATGCTTATTTATTGAGTATACTGGCCAACAGCATCCATTAACTGTCCTTTTATTGCCAGAGGAAAGTAGGACAATATAGTAGATAAAAGGAGAAGTGCTGCCTTAAGTAATCTTTAAAAGCCAAGACAAAAATCTTCAGCTACCCAAGTGGCTTTTCTCACTACTGACGGTTGGATCATGCAGGAGTTATACCGTGTTTGTGGAGCCTATGGTTAATGCTACATTTATTTCCAATATGTGGTACACAGCATTTGATTTAATACTATGTAGCCGATTGATGCCATCTGGTTTACAAGATGGAAGGGATGGGAGACCGAGAGCGCCTTAGAGGACAAGGTGAGCTGTAGGGTGATGTTACTGGAGACAGTCGCAGAGCATTGCCTGTCAAGCCAGCTATGTTGTTTAAGCTTCGAGATTTTTCATAGCCTTGTATGAGAAAATGCACAGACATCAGTTGAATTCAGCCAAAAACTAGACAAAGACAAACAATACAATGTAATGTAATCCAAGGAGCTATCAGGGTCTCAGAGGGAATCTGCCTGCAAAAGAACTCAATGCTGAGACACATTACTGCCAAAGATAATAATAAATAAGATTATTTACAAATTAATGCAACTATTTTTTCCCCAAAAAAATTAAACAGACCACCCACGAAGAGGTCTGACCTGCTCTTCCACACCCCATCTTGCACTCAGTGTTGCTCTGTGGGCTTCAGCAGGGTTGCACAGAGTGCAAGAGAAAGGATCCCAACAGGATTACTGAGTGAGCTATCTGGCTAAGCATAATCAAAAACCCATTAAAAGATACTATAGAAACTATTAGAATGATGCAATCTCTGCTAAACTCAATTCCTAATAAAAGACAATTTTTCTTTAAAAACCAAACAAAACAGAAACCAGATAAATTGCATACAGTATGTGTAAATCACTTTTTCAGACGTCCAAGTGATAATATGGTAAAGAAGCTCCATCTTTGGAAATATTAACCCTTAGAATTTGTTTCTAATTTTAAAGTCTAATTAGACAGCAGAGGTTGACATATTTGCAAATGCCTCCTGAATCACAAATTTAAAAGACTGTATTTGTGCTTCTTTTCCAGTTGATTCAAATGAAATAAATGGTAGGAATCCACATAAGAAAGTAGCAAATAATTAATCATTAAATGAGGTAACCACATATGCTTCACAATTTGAAGGGAACATTGCACTTGCAGACATTTCTGTTCATACACACTGTGAGCTCCAGCTACCTACTTTTTTGCTACATGAGGATTGTTTTCATTTTGTAGAGGCTATGCTGCAAAACAACAAAAAGGCATTGCTGTTCACTGCATCACTCTTCATCCTCAAGTATTTTCCATAGCACCTGCATGACCCCATTTATAAGGAAAAGATCTGCTCATCAATCTGAAGAGAGATATCAGCAAGGAAATACGACAAAGATGAAGCCGGACAGGACCTTGCTCCTCAAACACATGAATACATGCTTCACTGCAAGCATGAGAAGTGTCACTGATTTCAGTGGCACTACTTATTTCCTTGAAGTCAAATATGCATCTAAGCATTTGCCTGGTTAGCATGTTCGGGTATAAATTCCTTACAGTGAAATACTGAGACTTTTCCCACAGAAACTATAAAATGCCACAGACCATAAAGCTAAACATCACATGGCATGTCACCAGACTTTTTTTTCTGACTGAAATGGTTACTGGCTCAAATTCCAGACCTCTATGTAACACAGACAACAGACAGCATCTTCAGGAAAAATTGTGTCTCAGGTTTTCCCTTAATGACAATTAACATATTTTTTACTTACTGAGAACTGCATACTGTGAAACTATACTTGAATGTATAACCTCATGTCTGCTAAACATTGTGCAATGTTCTCTCCAGATTGCAAGGGCAGGCTAGACTGAGATGCTTCACAGACTTCTGATACATTTCAGAAACAGCCTCCAGTTTCTGAGGCTGTATCAGTATTTTCACAGATTAGAAAGAAGCATGTTTGAAAGGGGAATTGAAGGGAAGCACAATGCTAGTGTATATATTTAACCTCCCTGTAAACATAAAGATTATTTTAAAAAAAACCAAAATAATCAGGTAGCTTTTTTACACAGCAACTAGAAAAGCAGTTCTTAAGACTAGTTCTCTGTTACTTTTCTAATGATAAAAGGAAAGAACTGATAGAGGAAGATGGTAAAGATGATAACAAAAATAAGGAACTCCTAAAAAATGAAAACCAGGTGCACAAGATGAATAGAGAGATGCATGATCCAAAATCGGTACTTTCCAGGTTATTTTAAGTGGATCAGCTCTGAATCAGTATCACCTTAGAGACAGAGATAAGGTGTTAATGCAAAAAAGCTCAGAATAAATTAACATTGAACACAACCAAGAACCAACCAAGGAACAAACTAACCAAGAAGAATATACCAAAGGAAAGAATGAAAAATTACAACAAAAAGGTAGTAGACTTGATATGCAAATTAAATTCAATATTCAAACCCATTTGGATATTACATGAAGATGTTTCCTGCTTATGCACTGTCTTCCCTACTCTGTACAAAATACTTTCAAAGCCAGTGGCTAAAATATTTCAGCCGTGACTAAGACTGTCATCAGAGCCAAAGAACATATTTCTCATCAAAAACCTGTCTATTCTGAATTCAAGCCCCAGTTCGTTAGTAAAAAACTATGAAACCATTTTCTTTTAAATCTAGATTTTAAAATTTAAATGTTCCAGTATAAAATATGCTTTATTGTTGTATGTCTTTAGTAGCTGATGAGTAACTTATTTTCTTATTTCTGATCTGTTCTAGTTATGGTTACTGCTGTAACTTGTTGAGTCCAGAACCTGATCTTGCAAGATGCTATGGCCATCTGCCTTATCTAGGTGTTCTTGATCTTCACAAAGACTGGAGTATTACCATTAGAGATATTTTAAATAATTCTGGTTCTTCAGAAGACAGTGTGAAATATATGTGCAGTCAAAAATGCAGTAATTCTGTGCAAAAACATGTTTGCAATGAAGCTCCATTTAATCTAAACATTTTATATAGGAATATGAAAAATGCAGGATCATCAAGAAAGTCATACTCTTTACAAATACCATACACATGGAACTCTGGTTGCATATCTGCCTTCATGGGTTTAACCTACTGAGCACATGCTTTTGAAATGCAAAAAGAGCATTTGCAGAACAACCCAAGAGGATTCCTTTAAGCTATGATCCCTATACACAAAGGAATTTTAAAAAAAAGCAAGAAAAATTTCAGGCAAAAATGTTTGTCCAGTGCCACATAGCTACTGCAGATGAATAACTACATATTAGCACTCAGAAACGTGAAATGTGTTGGAATTATACAATTTGCCAAGAAATAAGCGCAATCCTTCTCTAAGGAAATGGTAAGGCTACTACTGGCATCGCTGATTTTAGGGCTATGCTCTGATATCAGGTTTGCTGCCACAGCCAGTTGTGGCCTGACAGAGTAGCAACACTATCAGTCACATGGGAGATACACATCTCCCTGCAAAACAGGAGTTTTGCAGACTCCACCTAGGGCACTCATCCTACTGAACTCCAAGCAATCAGACTTGAAGAGGTTGAATAACTAGATAGCCATTTTTAGCACCTTGCAAGATCAAGCATTGTTTGCTGTGGTTGAACTCTGGTTGGGATAGGAAGCCACCTTTTAGTATCAGTGATATATTGCAAAGAAGAAGCATTTTTTGGCATTATAAACTCAACCTTTTATTAAAAAAATCTAAATAGCATCTCATGACATGCTTTTTTGTGTTCAGAACAAAAAATGTTGCTTACTTCTAACATTTCAACCTTGAAGGTGTATCAGCTGTAAATTTTACTAAGTTATTAAGAGCAGTCCAAAGTTATTACATGATTAATTTGTCTTTTAGAATGACAAATGATATTGAGTGATGAGTGGATGAATGAGCTAGGTCTGAATTGCATGCTTTTTCACTAGAGATAACAGACAAGACACAAGTGAAATGAGGATCCAACATCAAGCACATTTGGGGAAGACTAAAGAGGATGAGTGTTTCTAAAAGGAAAGCAGGAAAAGAATGACTAGGAGTGATGAAAAAAAGATACATTGTGAATACAGTCTTTCCTGTAAGAGCATTGTGTACATCATTTTACACTGATTGCTCTTCACAAGCACATTGCTGAGTAACTTTTTATGATCTAATGAAAGAAGTCCATACCTTTCCTGATCCCTCCATCAGTAGCACACGTGTAATCACCTGTTGTCAGTAGGAAACATGTTCCCCCTCTTCTGTTTGTGTCTCTTGTACTAGAACGTCTGATGGGAGGGAGCCTTTCACCAGGTGAGAGTGGCTGCTCACTTCCTGCACTGTCTTCACCTGATAACACTGGTTAAAGCACCATGCCCATTTACAGACAATAATGAATGAGGAAATGAGACATCACAAAGAGCTTATGCTGAATGCCAGATATTCCCATCACTCAAAAAATAGTTATAAAGTAAATCATTAGAAGAAAACAAGATTGCAATTCATCATTAATCAGTACAAAATGGCAAAAGGAGTATGTTTTATTCAAGACCAAATGATCTTTTGACTTTCCTGTTCTTCTAAATCTCATACATGAAAAAAGGAATAGTGAAATCATGGCTTAGTTAGTTGCCTATTATGGACTGTAACTTTTCAGAGTACAGTCAGTCTTGGCTATTTCAAGCATATATTTACTATTTTGGCTATCCTTTTTGCTGAACAAGAGGTCATGTTAGTCATTTTTGCTTAGAATATGTTATTTAGCATGTTTCAAAGACAACCTCTCATCCAGGAGAGCTAAATTTTCAACATTTGCCACTATAAGCTGTTTAATAACACACTTAGCTTTCATTTCTGTATTTATCACAATTGCACTGCTTGTCATCATAAGTACACAACATTAAATGCTGTCCTTGGTCTCTGTATTTTATTTTGTCAAACAGTGAAGCTCATACCTCTCCTGATTTGTCACTCCCAAATGACTCTCCTTCAAAATTCTCTATGATTTCAAATTCAGGCCACACTTCAAAAAAAGAAAAAAATCTCTGCTCTGTACAGCACATGACTTCAGCTCTACCTTTGCATTTAAAACTGAGCATTTTTTTTTCTGAACTGGGAATGCAAAGGGCAAAATTCAGCCTTGAAGTTTTGCACAGAATTCCTAGTGACTCTAATAGCATTCTCTACCAGAAATAAAGCTACAGTGCATGATGTGAGAGGTGGCACTACTAAGAGAAAGTTACCACTTTCAAACAGCTCCCATTTGCATATCTGCTTTCTCTCTAACTTCAAGGATTATAGCCCCTTGTAAATAAAGCTGCAGACACAAAAATGTGTGTCTCTGCCCCATCACACTGAGCCTTCTCCACTCAGAATACCTTTAGCGGGACCTGATGGCATGAAAAAGATGTTATCATTAACGCTCTAAAGATGTTATCTCGAAGTGGGTATCAGTCAAAGCATTGTAAAACTAACTATATTTCACTCTCACTGTGAGTGGTTTCAAGGGTGTCCATCCTCTTAAATATATTCTGGATGTGCAAAAAGCTGTGTTAACTTTGCGAAGAGTAACTTGGAGAGTGAAACTGAGCTTCTTGGAACATAAATGTTATTCAGTAACAGAGCAACAAACAACATGTAAGATACTGTTCAGAGACTGATTTTCCAGACTCTTCTTTTTAAAAAATAAGCTTCAATTACTGAATGAGACCAGTCATAGGTGGGTTTGCTCTTATTATTATTTAGCAGCTTTCCAACAGGAGTGTAATGACTGGTATTGAGCTTTATAAACAGATTGTGCTTGGCTTAAGAATAAATATGCTCAAAAAAGAAAGAAAAAAAACCCCTTGCTGCTAAAATTTTGTATTAATTATACTGAGAGTTAAAATTTACTCTTTAATTGAAACATATATGGAATATGGGGCAGTGGCTTGCAGGGACTGAGGCTGTCATTTGAAATGCATTTTCACAGAGATTGGCACAAAATACTCCTTATTCATAATTTGGAACTCTCATAAATAAGGTAATAGAAATCACAAAAATCAACAGTAATAACAATGATGTTGCTAAGGGCTGTTATTTTCTTTTTTCTTGACAAACTATACATCAGCTATGCTATTATCATTTAGTTAATAGTAAATATCATGCAAGGTCTCATTTAACACAGACGAAGGAGGTTCTTTTAGCCAGGGAAGCAGAATGCCAAATGGAAAGAAAACTAGAAAGAAAATTTCTTCCTATTTCCTTTGAGTGCTGGGCTTTGGATGTAAAGCACCGGCTCCTTTTAAATGACTGCTTCTTTGTAGGATCTTGCTTAACAGGCCACGATGTGGCACAGGCAAAGCTGACACAAGAGACAGACACTGAGGCAAAACACCATGGAGTGCAACAGGGTGGGACACGGTGGCTGCTCAAGTAGTCACAATCATGCAGAAAAACAAGAAACATCCATATGACGCAACAAACAACAGGCTTTTTTTTCAGGAAAGCATTCTCAACAGAGCAAGCAAAACTGTATAGACCAGCTACATAGAGGTTTGGGAACATGACTATACCTATTTAGTCCTCTATGAGACTGACACACGCAAACGTTGGAGGGGAGAAGGGTGGGAGCTACATCTTCTCCTGGCAGAAAGACTGGCTGCTTTCTGACCCCTACCAAACATACTGGTCTATAAAGTGTTTTCAGAGGACATGCATTTTCTTTAGGGTCCTACCTGATGATCGGTTGTGCTCCATCAGCTGGTTGTCCTTGCCCAGGCAGATGTCACCCTGTGTGCTATTGCAGGCCATGTTCAAGTCTGTCTTGCAGAAGGTAGGTGAGCTGGCTTGAGGAGCAGGAGGGATGTGCTTCTTTCGCTTCCTTGGCAGTTTTTGCTTTGCCATGGCCAGGGAGTAGTACATCCCAAAATTGTTAACTATCACAGGCACGGGCATGGCTATGGTAAGCACCCCTGCCAGCGCACACAGGGCTCCCACCAGCATGCCTGACCAAGTCCGTGGATACATATCCCCATATCCCAGGGTGGTCATGGTGACTACAGCCCACCAGAAGCCGATAGGGATGTTCTTGAACTGTGTGTGTTCACTCGCTGATGGGTCATTAGGCTGAGCTCCCACCCGCTCTGCGTAGTAGATCATAGTGGCAAATATCAAAACACCAAGTGCCAGGAATATTATCAGCAGCAGAAATTCATTGGTGCTGGCTCGCAGAGTGTGACCCAGCACCCTGAGGCCCACAAAGTGCCGGGTGAGCTTGAAGATTCTCAGGATCCTGACGAACCTTACCACCCTGAGGAAACCAAGCACATCCTTAGCAGCTTTGGAGGAGAGCCCGCTCAGGCCCACTTCTAGGTAAAAGGGCAGGATGGCCACAAAGTCGATGATATTCAAGAGGTTTTTGATGAATTCAAGTTTGTTGGGGGAAAAAACAACACGTACTAAAAATTCAAATGTAAACCATACCACGCAAACTCCTTCCACGTATGTCAGGGCAGGATCTGTCTCAATCTCATACTGTAGCACAGCTTCTGTCCCGTTGATGACCTGTTCAGTTTTGTTTATAATAGTATTGAAAGCCTCATGTGTTTCCAGGCAGAAGGTCGTGATTGAAACTAAGATGAAGAATAAAGAAGCAAAGGCGATGAACTGAAACAGAGAGAAAAAATATATCAGAACCACACAGCTCTTCACATTAATGCTAACAATGTTAGTGTTTATTATAAAACTTTTACTTGTTCAACCCCAAATGACTGACAAATTCATATGCATAAAAATTTTCGTCTAGGCCAGAGAAGAGCAGCGGACAGCTCTCACATGTGGGCCAGAAGTACAGGAGCAGAAAAAGTCTTCATGATGGACATCACAACAAGATGCAACTCCTTAAGAAAGTGGCAACAAATTGTTTAATCTGTGCTAAATTGTCTGGATTCCATTCAGTTGTCAAGGTAACTTACAAACAGCCCCCATACACATCAACTACAGCAATATTTAAGGATATCAACCTCTCACATGGTGGAAAATGGGGCTGATGGTCTTGAGATTGTGTTTCAGAATTCACACCTGTCCTGACGGGCACCTCAGAGGGGCCTACAAGAAGATCCAAACTCTGGATTTCCTTTGGATTTTCAGTGATTCATGAACACAGGATATTTACTGATAGAAAACACCTTCCATGTTACAGGTAGAGTTGGTTGCATGGTCTGTTATGTTTGCAGTTATCCATCACTCATTCTCTTAGGCAATACTAAAAGGAAGCACAGCAGAACCTGACACGCTGCAGTGTCAGAACTTTGCCAGTGCGTTAGGATCCACAATCCTGCTAACAAAGTTAAAAATCCAGGACAACCTGAACCAAAAGGAAATACAAATTCAGTTCTAGTAGAGGCATGTGAATTGATAAAATACAGGTAAATAACCTGGAGACAGCCATAACAGATGATTGTTTAGAACTTAAAAAACATATGCTGCCTGATCTTCAACTCAGTCATCATAGTCAAGCAATGAAGAAAAGAGAACATCCAGGACAGGATCTCAGAAATTAACAATGAGACAAACAGCTAGAGTGGGAATGGGAAAAGGTGTTTTGAGGTCAGTTGCTCCTTTGCTACAATGGTTAACTTCCTTTCCGTGACAGTACCTTTCCACTGTCATTAGCCTAACAGCAATGGTGTGGTACGAGAATTGATGATGTGGTTAAATCCCTCCCTGAGCCAGGACTTACGACAAGTTATCAATGTGTTTGTTACTTTGGAGTTTTAGCTTAATAGATATAAACATTGTTGTCCTTAAAAAGAAACCTTCTCAAAACTTGAAACTTTTTGAAGGTGTTAGGGGCCCAAAGAGACAAAACGATGCCTAAACAGGTTTTTGAAAATATCTAGTGCCTGTATATTGCCACACTGAAATGTTGAATTTCATTGGAAAAAAAACTTAGTTACCAGCCATAAGCAAGAATGACTCTGTTCTGTCACTTAATCCAGGATACAACACTGTGACAAAACTGATTCTGTGTACTTGAGGTATCAATCACTGCATTTAGTATTAGCACTCAGATTTAGAGTTATGTGCCACAGGAGCTCATTTGGGCTGGTACAATACTGAATATTTGCATTTTTCTAAAACAGAACATTGGTTAAACAACAAAATGTTGCCTGTACAACTGGTATAGAGAATTGTTTTTATTCTGAGAAACAAGTTTAAATTTGCAATGCAGACCTGGAAAATTCATTACAGTCAGAGTCACAAGATACTTTATCAAAAATCCCATACATCTACTTACATCAGAGATTTGCAGTTTGTTTACAGCTTCCTTACCTCAATCAATGAAAATAAGTTATTGCAACATGTCCTACAATTGCAAACACTCTAAACCTGTTATCTTTCATAAAGGACTGACTTAGGAACTGAACTGAACACCTCATCCAGTCTGAACTTCTAGCCACGAGCTAAGCAATCTTACACTGTCTGATTTTTACTGAACAGGCTTTTCTGCCTTTGCCTTAACTACGAAATTGCTGCACGTTCATAGCTCACAGAACCTGGTACCAACATACACAAAATAGCCTCAATCTTGTGTGAGACAACTAGAGCCAGTAAATACAATTAGATTTATATAACCTAAGAGAATGAATCTCAGCAGATCTTTGCAAAACCTCTCCATAAAATGGATAGAGAATTTATCAGACTCTAAACCAGTGGTGGGCTAAGAATGACCCTTGGGAGGCTCCTAGAGCATCCTCCAGAATCCTTCTACACAGTCAAGGACAGAAAAATCAAACAAATCCATGGAAGCTGAGGATCACTGAAGCTAAGCCAGCACTGTAGTTTGCAATTTGGGAGGTAACTTCTGACAGATTAAATATTGGGCAATCTCTTCAACAGCAACACTTTGGTGATTTCAGACACCAGTGTGTGTATATGTACATATATACTTCAGTCTGAAAACAAAGCTACATTCAATCTAGCCAAATAAAATTTACAAGCAACTCAAATATAATAAGGATTAATTGTGCATTCAACAGTGCACTGAATCTAATAGTACATGAATAATTATCACTGTTTTCTGGATGTATTTCAGAAAGAGAGTCCATTTTGGTTCAGAACCTTTCTAAAAAAAAAGTCAAATATCAAGGGATTAACTACAGGTAGGACTGCCTGGCAATCTATTTATTACTGTTTTGCTGAACATTGGCACCATGAAAGGTGACAGTGCAGTTGGTACTTGGCACTTGGCAAAGCTGCTTGAAGTTTTTAACTGTGCACCTACATTCAGTGCTTTATTATCCTTAAAGGAAAAGGACATTCAGACATGCCCAAAATCCACTATCTTACTCTGTTATTCTAAAGACAGTCATCTTCCAGATGTTAGAACAAAGACAAGAAAAAGCTATTAATCTGGTGACAGATTTCTTGACAATCCTGCAATAAGCATTCACAGAAATGTAAAACAATGAGATATATGCATTTTGCCATGCATATGCATGGTATCACTGATTTTAAGCAGATGCCCAATTTTTTAAAATCCCTTGTTGCATTTTGTTTTAAACTGTCAACTTCTTGGATCAGGACAGATCTTGTATAGTGCCTAGAATGATGAAACCCTATACACAAGAGACCTACAATGTTATGGCAAGAATTAGAGGTTTCAGAGGACATGCAAGAAGAAAATGCAATGATCAATGGAAGAAGGAACATTTTATCAGTCAAATAAAAAATGCTGAGGGATTTATTTTACATTAACAAAGATTCTTCCTTAGCATCATATTACATAATACCAGACAATGTGTTGAAAAGACTCTCACGTGTTTTTCACAAGCATCTCTAATGATAGAAATGAAATGAAGTCATGTGCTATCTTCACTTTATGCTTTTCTTCTGCTTAAACCTAATTCCAATTTATCTCATTTTGAAGGTAATGGGGCTCTAAAAATATATCCATTTTTGTTCATGTGAGCAAGCACCACATTTCAGACAAATTCAGTACAGATCCAAACTCCCAGATTCTCTGGTTGATGTGATCAAAAAAGTTCTATGCCTCAGTCCTGTACAAAACGTTCTATGCCTCAGTTCCTCAGTACACAATAATTGGGGTGCCACACACAACTTCTTGTCTGTTTGCTTTTTTCTTTAGTGAAGCACAAAAGTCTAAAAACTGTAATTGACAGATATTGAATTAATAAAAAGCTCAGTCCATTTTTGCCAGAAAAGAGCAGATAAGAGTTACAAAAATGTTCAGCATGTAATACACAGCATGCAGAACATTCGTCATTAAGTAGTTAAAGCTCCCAGTAGGCTGCTGATTCCCTCTGCTCACAATTTGAATGCAGTGTTCACCCAGTCTTGCTCATGTGTGTTAGAATCACATTTCAGACATTCGGAGAGATTCCACCTCCCAGCTTGTCTTGATGGGATCACCAGCTAAGGTCTGTTGCTAAGTTCTACTAAGGTTCACAGTAAGTGGATTAATCATCTACAAGGTGATTTTTGATGAAGCACATAAATCTAAAGCGAGTGTGAGGTGCTTCCAGATAAACTGTTGGAAGTAGAAAACCTTATGATTCCTACTTGGAATGCAGTGTCTCAGGGGGAACTGAGTAGCTCAGAGTTTAAAGCAATTTCAAAATTCACAACAAATCGAGGACTCTGTGGATTATCAGAACTTCTGAGTCCAATGTTATGTTTTACCTTGCACATAGCTCCTTAAGTGCTTGAAAAATTAAGGTCACAAAAAACTGTGGCTTCAAATGACCTGACAGCAGTCTGAAAGGCCATGTCTGGTTTTCACAGTAGGAAAACGCACCTGGTCAGAGGATGCTGTGGCTCATACCTAACCCACATGCTCAAGTTTCCTTTCCAAACAAACCCAGACACGGGACTGGTTGCACCACTTGCCATGGTCCTGCAATGGAACCAGGGCCTTACTGCAGTCATGTTAAGGCTAAACAGCTTAGACACAGGCAAGTAAAACAACAATGGAGCTAGAAGTGGATCCTCATACTCAGGTGTGTTACACATATTCATAAAATCAGACTCATACTACTCCGTACTAAAAATATACTTCATCTGTCCATCCCACTCCTGTAAAACAGGCTATTTCTACACATTATTTAATATTCCAGGATGGTCAGGTCATAGTCACTGAAAAGGTTAATGCACAACTATGTGTTAGTAGTCACAGTCAAGTCACCCTTACTTCTTGTTTCACACTTCAGTTTTCAATAAAATATCTCACAATATTTCAGCATTTTCCCAGAAAAAGTCTGTATTGTCTGGATACAACTTGTCCTGGGGTTTGATCTCAACACCTCCTCCTTCAACTCCCCTTACTGTGTAATGTATATTTTCTAACATGGGCATTCATTAGCAGCTTTTAAGGTTCATTTAGTTTATTCGAGTTTCATTCTAGGACACAGAAGGCTTGCCCTTGACACACTTGACAACAGAAAAAGAAAACTACTGAATATTTAATAAGCCCTTGGAAATACAGCATTTAATATTCTCTAATGCAGGTACAGAATTGCCTTTAAAGAAAAAAGATTGCAATGTTGCTTTAAATAAATATCTTCACAGGCACATTATGAGATTTGATACATGCATACTTCTAGAATTTAAAACAATTTTTAAAAATCAATATTCCTTTCCACCAC